AGCAACTTTAACTTTAATTAAAATATATAAATTGTTCATGTAGTTTCTTTTCTGTTTTGTGTCTCAGCATGAAAACATCGTAAAACCTGAACTAATAACATTTTAGAAAACTTGTTTCAGGTTTTTATCTACAGCGTTTATTAAAAATGTATGTTGATTTATAGAAAACCACGTTTTTTAAGTGTATTTTTGTTATTAACAAAATACATACAAGGCCTGATCCCTTGTATGTACATAACACCAATATCTAATGTGAAAAAACTTTTTTTTAAATATATTTTCACCAATCTACATGTAATTGCTGAAATTTTTACATTCAATTTTACCTTCATGCATGAAAAATGTTTAATTTGTTTCAATAAACTCAAACTATGTCCGTCGAAAAACTGAATTTTATTTGGCTCCAAAACAAAACAAAAAAAACAACTAAACTTGCAATAATTTCAGGCTTCCGTAGCGGCTGGAGCCATTTTTGGTGTTTAAAATGCGTATTAAGTGTAGTAAGGTAGCAGCACCTTCCCCACATTATGCAGCTCAATTATTCCATGAGCAACACCTGCAAAACAAATTTGGCATTCAAATTTGCTAAGGATGATCAAACAACGACGAAACACTGTCATTATTTCTCCCTCACACATTCAGCAGCAGCAGCAGCGAGGGGAGGAGGAAAGAGAGAAAAAAAATCTAAATACTCCCGTTTTCTTTTTCTTTTTTTTTTTTTCCACGATGCACTGAATTAACTATTCAGCTGGAAGCAAACTTCATTTTATAGGTTTCATTCACCTCATTTCCCAAAGTGTATTTAACTGCCGTTGCAAACACAACAACGTAAATCGATTTGGATCCGCAAAACCTCACCTGCTAGGAACAGAAGCATCTTTCTGAACTTTTTGAAGTTAATTTTCTATATATTGGACAACTTTTGCAGGCAAACTGCAAAAAAACAATGAAACAGAAACTATTGTTTAGGCTGGTGAAAGCAGCAACTGCTCCTTGCCCTTTTTCCTCGCACTCTGACGTTAGATAAAGAGAAATCAGCACTAATGAATTGAGCCTCCCCGGATATAATTCTGTAATAGCTATAATCAGGCCGTTTTGAGCACATGAATATACATGGTCGGCATCAGCTGCAATCCTCTTGGTGGTCAATTTTCTTGAAGCTCTGCCAGTTGGGGAATATTCCTTCTTCCCGACTCTTCCTTAATGTTATCAGGTAACACACACTGGTGTTAAATCCCACGACGAAATAAAAGCCTCCTTTTGGAAGCCTTCACAGCAGACAATGCTGCTCTCACCAAAAACCCTTTAAGTGTTCATGTTTTAATGTCATTATGGCACCACGAAGCAGCAAACAGACCAGGCAGGAGGAGGGAGAGGGAAAGGAAAAAAAAAAAAAAAACATGGCCTGAAAAGAGAAAACCCTACACAAGACCTCAAGGTACATTTGCTCTGAGGAAAGACAAAAAGGCTCCAGCAATGGCAAAAACAAACAGGAGCGGTTTATTACGTTCACGCCGTGAATGGTGGAACAACGGCCTCGGCGGTGCTCGCTGACAGCTTCTAAAGCCGCAGATTTGTGCCCATTAGTCACACATTTTAGCAAGAAGGTGGTTTCTAAAGTGCATTGATGAGGATTACAGTTCTATCCTTTCCTGTCTTCCTTTCAGAGCGCAAACGCCAGGCTGAAATCCTGAGATGCCAGGAGGTTTCTGCGAAGAAAGGAGTGGAGCAACTATTGTGTTTGTTTTCTCAAATGGCAATCCGTGGGGGTATTAGAGGGCTTAATCTGTGATTAATATTTTAATGATACAAAATAAGCAGCCGTTTCCTGAAGTTTACACCGTCCCACTTCACCGGTAGGTTTGTTTGCGCTCTGAATGGAGAAGAGGGAGTGAATGCAAAACAGGTCTGGTCCAGATTACATGGTGGCACTCGGGTGCGATTACAACATGAGGGATGTAAATAATCTCAGTTTGTTGAGTTGGTGATGTTTTGTAATCATGGACTAGTTTTAACAGTTCTTATCCATGCTCTGCAAAGTGAGGATTAAAACAGTGTCAGTGAATCCAACGTGTCTCTTTCAGACTTTATAAATCACTTTGTTACATTAAGATTCCTCCTTTTGGTTGAACTTGGACATTGAACTCAGAACAATCATCTTTTAGTAAAGGTTTTTGACTTGTTTAGGATTTAAAATAGAAAATAGCAACTTGGTCTTGCAAACCAGATGCATTGTCTTGAGTTTTTGCTGTTCGCTGTTCTGATCAAGAGGAAAAGACATCAGCAATGCCCCTGACAATAAATCTGGGAAGGATTACCAGGCAAACCAATTCAATACACAGATGTCAGTCTCTTCATGAGTGAATGTTTTAGTAAATTTACCCCAAAGTAAAGTCATGTAATTCTCAGAGAAATGACTAAAGAAGCCATAGATTTGTTGGTTTGGAAAAGCAAAATCTTTTCAGCTAATTTTCTTTGGTCAGACGAGACCAAAGTAGATATTTTGTACCATAAAACACAGCAAAACGTTCTACAAAAACCAAATATTAGCATAAATGACCTTTCACCAGCTGTGAAACATGATGACAAGGGGTCTCTTTTTCTACAATTTAGCTTTGGAAAGTCAAGTAACAAACCACAAACCTCTAGAAGAATAATGTCCACAACATTAAGCCAAAAGGCCACAGCAAGTGATAATCTGGGTTTGTTTTTCAATCTGAAATTTCCCTTTGTGTACCAAACTAATCTCATGTTAAATGTCAAGCCAACTGTCCAACAGCTGAAGTTAGGTAATCCTTTTCACAATAAACGCAGCAGCTAAACCAGAAAAACAAAGGTGTCATTGAGATGTGTTGGGACTAAAGACAGTTGTTCAAAAACAAATGTCTGCAAACTTCGATGACTGAAGCGGTGTTACATGAACAGGAACAAAAATTTATCTGTTAAAAGAAGATATTTTCCTGCTACACAATGCAATGTTTTTCTTCACCGTTAAAGTGTTAAATTCTTTGATTTTATTTTCCAACTCTGATGACTTCTGGTAGCTCCTTTCATTTCAGGGGAAATGGAAATCACCACTGAATTCTGATGCGTCAAAACCATCATTGACTGATGAGTCTGGAGCTGACAAACATTTTCACAGCTTGAAATGCAACAATATCTCATATTTTACAAATAGTGCAAGTTTAATCTCTCCATTTTTCCCTGTTATATAAAATTGCAGTATCTATTGCATAAATTGACTTATAATTTTAAGCAATTCTAATCCCAAATGATTTGACACAGTGAATTTGATATTGAAATGAGAGTTTGCCAAATGTGATGCATCAAATTTATGTTGCAAATAGAAGAATAACAATTTACTCTAAACATGGAGTCACTAGAAGCTCATCCATTGCAAGGCATTTGACAAAATGTAATGTTTATGGTTTTTATGACGTGCTGAAAATGTCAGAAACAAATAAACTTTCTGTATTTAACTTTTTGATATGTCGTCCATCCTTTAAATTGCTTTATTGGGATTTTATGTAACCACATTATTCTTAGAAAATAATATATTATTTGCAAATAAATCTCTGATGAGTGTGGCTTTCAGACCCCTTTACTCTGATGCCTCCAAATAAAACTCAGTCCAGTTACGTTCAGAAGTATTTTTCACAGATAAAGTAGCTTTTGAATCCAGTTGATTGTAGTAAACTGCAAAACAACAAAGGAACAACAAAAGGTTTGAGCTTTCCAAACTGATTTCCACCTTTACATTTCAGTTGAATGTTTATTTTAACTGAAATGTAAAGTGTTTGATAATGATGTGAGCGACTAAAGAAGAAGTTGTCTGAGGTCGCCTGTCACCCTGACCTCCTTCTCTGCTGGTTGTTTCCCAGCAGAGCGATAAGAAACACAAAAACACACCAGATAACCATCGGTGTCTCCGCTATCTCAAAGAGGCTGAAGGCCCACATCGCCTGTAATTGGATTTGATTTGGACTCCCAGCATCAGTTAGGGAGATTAAGGGCAAGCACAAAAATCCTTGCGATTCCTTTTCATCCAGATGACAAGCACGGCCTAACGGATCCTGAAAGGAATATTTGTGACGGAAGCCTTCATCGGGTCTTCAGCGTGTAGCGGGAAGTGACGAACAATGAAGGTGTGTGATCATTACGACCTCCTTTTCCACTTTAAAGTAAACAACGCTCTGTATATTGTGGAGAAACTTGATAACTTCATGCTGTTTGTGCCAACTAAAACTGGTTAAAAGTTCTTCACATATAGAAACAGGATCCGGCCAACAAAAGGTTCTGCGTCACAATAATGGGAGACTTAACTTATTTTACTTCCTCTGCATCGCCTGTGGGGAAGAGGGAGGTTCTGTTCTGGCCTGATAAGTCATCTATTTAAATGGATCATCATTCTCACAGGTATGTAAATACATAAAAAAAAGCATCCTATATTTCTCCCGCCTTTATTTCCACTCTTTTGAACAACAAGCAGCGCTTACAGTAGATTAAATATCAGCATCAATAGACTTCCCCACGCTCTGGTGTCGTATTCTCTCTACCCCATGCCAAAAGACTAATATTAGTATCTCCAGAAAATAATCTCTCTTTATTTTGCAAGTTCCCTGCTAAGGCATTCACATTTATCAGAGGATTTAAATACGGATGAAATAGTATATAAGCTGGATCCCCTCAGGAGAGGTTCTCATTCTCTTGTATTCTTTCAGACGAGGAGGAGAGGAAAAAGAGAGGGAGCAATGCTGCACCTTGGCGGAGAAAAAAGGGAGGAGGAGGATGTGCCGAGGAGGAGGAGGAATTAATTTTTCCCCTCTGGGAGAAACACATGCTGGATCTCGAGAGTTGGAGGAGAATCTTCCCATCTTGCTCTGATTGGCATTAAGAGGGTGGGGGGGCGGAAAGAACGAGAGGGAAAGAGATGCCACGGTTGTTACTAATGATTTATTGTCTGAAACGTGAACGGCGTTCTGTGGGTGCTCGTCGTTCAAAAACGTTCAGCAGATCCTTTTTTTTTCCATCTCTGGAAGCTTCGTTTTAGCGCCAACAAATTCATTATCGGCGAGCCAAACGAATAGACCCACAAATATGATGTTTTTCATCTGGACTTGATGGATCTGCAGCAAAAGATTAGAGTTTAAAATAAATAAAAAAAAATTTCCCACAGCCATGACCCCTTAGGTCACATTTTGTCTAATCAACAACCTTCAACCAAAACTACTAATTCAGTCATTTAAATTGATAAGTCTGCAAAATATTAAATTGTCTCTCCAACTAATTAAATTAATTCAGCTGCTGAAAATAAACTGTCATTAAGTTGTAATCTCTGACCAATTAAGATGTAAAAATAAATGTGGGCACAGAAGAAACTTAAAAATATAGAAAATCAAATAAGGAAGTTTGTTATGAGGCAAATAACAGAAATATATATTTAATTTTCAAAGAACCTTTTAGGTTAAACAGTTAGTTGCAACTTGCATTTCGTTCATATGAGTTAATAGTTTTCATAATATCTAAACTGAATGACTTACATTTGTAACCTTTAATGATTTACTTATGCATATTTTTTTTCTGCACAGAATTCAACTTACATGATTTTCTTTAAATAGTCAAAGTTTTTTAAAATTTTTTGCAGATTCAAATATCGGTTGGTTACATTTTTTTTGATTCAAGTTTTGCCCACCATTCTGACTGGATATGTGACTTTCCTGTTGGTAGATTTGGTAAAGTTTAGTTAAATTACTTCTGGTACCATCCCTGCTTTTACATCTTCTGTAAAAGTATCTAATATGTTCGAAATTTGACAACCTGGGTCAAACATATTAACATCAGATCAGTTCATCTGTAGTTGGAACAACTAAATGTTTCTTGAAAATCAAATCCTAATTGATGGAAAACAGCCCCACAGGTTTCAGAAAAGTAACCAGTAAGTTTTACTAAAGTCATGTTACATTTTTGGGAAAGTAAATAGAAAATCCTATAAGCTTTGTGTATTAAGAATGTATAAAATCCAAATTTAGTTTATTTTAAAACTTACACTGCTTAGAAAATAGGAAGAGAGAACTTCGACAGCAAGAGCTTACCATCATAATTTAGGCTGAAAATAACATCTAAGTTCCAGGATGGGAACCAACTGAGTTCCAGAAAAATGTCCCATATGAGGAAGAGTGAGTTCCAGGAATGCATAGGTTTGAGAAAAGCAATCTTTAAGTTCAAGTTCACTCTTTGAGCTTTAGGAAGTAGCCTGAAAGTTTCCAGTCCTGGAAAGAAAACAACTTTCAGTCGTGCAAAATCTCTAGCAAAATAAGTTATCAGAATATACTGAAAGTTTTAGGACCTGGAAAGTGATCTGAACGTTCTAGAAAAATATTCTCCAAGCTGTGCTGGATTATTAATGTTGATTTTCTTTCTACTGTCCATCTGATCACCTAGAAGTGCATCTGCTGAGAGTTCACTGCAAAAACACATTTTGTTATGCATTTTTGTCTAGTTTCTAGTATCTTAGTGCAGTTGAACCAAGATAAAACTTGTACTGGCAGATTGATTCACTTATAACATGAGAAAAATGTCTTGTCAGAAGTGAAATTCACATCTGCACCGCAAACTTACAGAAAACTGCAAAACAGCTGAAACAGTGTTTAACTCTGTACTAGCAGTTTAGAGTTGCTTTTGCAACATAATCAATTAAACATTAATCAATAATCTGATGTGTAAGATATGTGGGCTAGAAATACTTTCAGTTATTTTATGTGTTTGCAGCGTTGGGAGATTCGCTGAGACCCTAACTTAAATTTTTCTTCACCGAAAGTCTAGAAAATAAAACAATTAATACGGTAGGTAAACTGTTTAACAATCAAAAGCCAAAAAGTTGAAACAAAAGCGAAATTCTACCTGATCTTACATGCATTACAGATTTCAAACGGCCTGCCTGAGGCACCACAAGAGGGACGCAGGTTTAATCATGCAGAGGAGCAGCACCTACTGTTCTTTACGTCGACACACCAGGCGCGCAAAACAAGGCAATTAATGGCCAGACGTCTAGCCAGACACTGTCCCCTGTGTGTCGACGGGAAGACAGAAGGCTGCCGAGCTGCACACAGATCAGCCCGTATTGACTCAATCTATTGACAAATGAATTTGGGGGCAAAGTCCTTCTGCGAGTTGTTGATTTAGGTGTCACAGTTCAGTCCCGCTAGTGCCAACACTCACAGCACATATCTCTGTCTTGATCTGACAGCAAGCTGTGAGTTCAAATATTCCTTTATTAAAGTACAATATATCAGGATTCGAACATAATGCTGCATGTTTCCACAGCTCTGTTTGCCGGAGGAGAACGGTAAACTGCCTGCAAACACCAAGCGTGTTGCAGAGAGCCATTAAAAATTCGGATATAATGGCTGTGAATTCCGAATGGAAATGAATGCAACACAAAGTTTTGCTTTCTGCAATATTATAGTCAAGCGACTACATTAAAAAGCAATTAAAACTAACTATTGCATTACAAGGAAATGAATTAACTTTCAACACATTGAAAGGCATGTTTTCTTCAGAAGTGTGGTGTAAATGAAACTCTTCATTAAGGATTAAAAAATAATAAAGAAAATTGGTCCCTACCACGAGCTTTTTAAGCATTCATTATTAGCTGTATTTGTTTTAATGAGCTGCCTGAGATCAAGTGAAGGAAAAAATAAATAAACAGCCTGACTTAAGCTTTAATGCTATGATAACTTGATCAAATTCCTAATTCATAATGGGGGAAGGAGGGAAGGAGGGGGTTTGTGTGGTTAATGAAATCCTGAACAGCCAATTCCTTTTCTCCAACTTCTCCACTTCATCCAAAGATGCAGCAGGTGTTGGCTCCCGAGCAGAATTTGGGTAAATATTGATCCTGTAAATATGTGTGCTGTTCTCGCCATGCCTCCAAGCCTTTTTATTTTTTTTCCTGTGTTTTGTTGTGCAGAATCGCAGCTTCCCGACTGCCAGAGCGAAAGCCAGTAAGGAGAGGTATCGTCTTCAGTCCGTCTCCCACAAGGCCACTGTGGGAAGGGTACAACTGTTGCGAGTGGGTGGCACATCTGTTCCCTGAGACAGGCGAGCCCCACTCCCCGGGGGTCATCACGCGCCTTGGCTGGCGTTTCATGTGCATCGCTAATAACCACTCTGGTTCCTCCGCTTAGCTGGAGACAAAGGGCCTTGACGGGTGCCACTCGCCTTCAGATCCGAGCCTCAACATTTCTAATAGAAAGAGCATTAAGCACCATGTTTACCTTATTCTTCTTCTTCCATCCATCTGGCGCAACGTTCACATTTATGACAGGTTAAGTACATTGGAGATATAAAAGGTTGACACGGAATACATTTGCAGGTTCTCGATTGAAGCACCATATGCACGGCGGGAGGAAAACAATGAGGATGATTCACAGAATTAAATCTCAAAGTTTTGCAAAAAGAATATTTAAAATCAAAGCTGCAAAGCTTTTTTGTGAGTGTGTGTGTGTGTGTGTGTGTGTGTGTGTGGGGGTGTGTGTGTGTGTGTGTGTGTGTGTGTGTGTGTGTGTGTGTGGGGGTGTGTGTGGGGGTGTGTGTGTGTGTGTGTGTCCGCACCAAACTGAAAAGTGTAAAACTTGGAAGACGAAGGAGTGAGCAAGGGATGTAATGAGTGCTTTAAATCCCAGGATGCAGAGACAGGTGAGTTTGCGCCGGACGGTTCGGTGTCAGCGGGGCCGGTTCACCAGGACCAGCGATGGCTCAAGTAGCAGAGGGCGAGCAGAGAGCATGAAGGATGAAAGATGGAGCCTAATCCTCCACATGTGGTGTCTTTCCCACCCCCCACCCCTCTGTTTTTAAAGGCAAAGCCAACTGGAGACATTCTTTGGACTGCAGGCCAGGGGCTCCAGGAAAGCACTGCCTCTAGCCAAAGCACATAGTGTGAAATGAGAAGCTAAAGCTTGAATGTGCTTTTGTTTATCAGAAAACTGCACTCTAAGTGGGATTGGCAGTGGAGGGGCCCAAACTCCATAAGTCATATAGACTGGCTCAGGCCGAAGTGGGGATGGCAACGCCGCGGCTTCAGGCTTGAAAAGGCAGCTCGTCCGTTAGCCACTTGGCAGCATCTCTTCCTCCATAATCTCACTTCCAGCACAAAGGCCGGTATCAAAGAGGTCAATCTACAGTAGGAAAATTTGGTCACGAGCTGTGCAAATAAATTTGAGGAAGCATTTCTTATCCACAGGTCTGCTCTGAGCGTTGCAAAGAGAACTTAAGATATGAAACCTAAGCTGAGAGAATTGGGGACAGAGATTTCTGGGAGACAGGACAGGAGCAGGAAGCCAAAAACCGATCAGTTATAGAGATGGATTGTGAGAAAAGAGCTGTGACCATGAGGCTGATGGCTTCAGAGCGGCTCAAAGTAAGCAGAAAGTTATGAAGGAACTCAGGGAACTCTGACTTCTGCTAATTAACTCCTAAGTCCACACAAGCTTTTAATTTGTCTCTCCCTGAACAAATAATTAGTAAAACCCCCCAAAAATGTATCAAAAGAGAGAAAAATATGATTTAATTTCCTTAAATGTGCCACAGAGAGTATTCTGTCACTGAATAAAGTATTTATAAAAAATATCTTTACGCACTTTCCGCTTGATAACGACCTCAAAACTTTCCTTTTCATTTTTAAAACACCTGAGTGCATAAAAAATAATTTATGTTTCCAAACCCAAACGGAAATCTGAACTTTTTAGCTTGCAGAAGACTTATAGAAACCAAAATAACTTTCCACCCTTTCCACCCTTTCCTATGGTTAATAAATCTGATCAGGTTGATTGATAAACTCGTTTTGATTCATTGGACTGGTCTGAATTCTTACACAACTCAAAGTGCTTCATAGGACAGTCATTCAGTTTCGAAAACCAAATTCTGGTCATTCGACAAACGAAATGAAGGAAGCAGACTGTAGCGCATGGCATTCTGGGTAAAGACTTTCTAGTGCCAATGGGAGAAACAAAAGAGAAATTTTACAACTAAAACTGCCAGTCAATCTGACCAGTTAACGGTCAGATTGTCGAAGTTCCTGGACAGAACCAGCACATGAACGGGGACATAATGCAAACCAGGAAACTTCTGCAAGCGAACACCTGTTACCCACAACACATCTGTACCAAAACTTGAAAATTAGTGTCTCAATTTAAACGCTTCATTCCAACAATTTATTTATTTATTTCCTTCAATTTTTTTCATTCCAACAATTGATTTAGATATTGGCATCCAAGATCAGAAAGCTCAGGGTGAATGTGAGGACATGATGGTGATGGAAAAGAAAGAGAGGAGAATGTGGAGTCCATGTCATCTTTGCAATATCACTGCAAGGTTAAACTAACAACAACTGTCACGTCCGGAGCTGGAAAATCGCAAAAACAGAAAATATCACCAAGTATTTTTGCTCTATATCTTCTCACACTTGAAATAAGACAAAGTTAATGTATAGGTCATTTTTTAGTGAGATATATAAGCTTGTTTTACGTCAATAATTCCTTGAAACTGATTGAAAAGTATTACTTTCACCAGCAGATTATTTCACGTATAACAGTAAAAACAACTTGTTTTAGTGAAATAACCTTCCAGTAGAACTTGGACTTTTTCTCAAACATTGAGGAATTACTGACTTAAAATAAGCTTAAATATCTTGCTGAAAAGTTACTTCTTGGTTAGTTTTTTCTCAGTTTAAAGTGTACTAAGGTATTTGCACAAGAAACTAAACTAAAAATGCTCGATGAAAATTTGTGCTAAATTAGTATTTAAGGATTGCAAACAGAGCAGGGGGGTTTAAAAACATGCATGTTGTCATAAAAGCAAACTCACTAGTTGAACCTGCTTCACTCAAATAAATGAAAAGCTGATATTTACTGATGCATTTCAGCCTTTGTGGGGGTTTTTTTATCCAGAAATGAGTCACCTTCAGGACTGGGTTAAACGTTTTAATACAATTTAAATACAACCGCACATTTAAAAAAGGCCAACAGTAATTCATAAGAAATCTGCATGCTTGCTGATATCTGCCACACTTTGGGGCCGGTTGAACAACCATGCTGCGCGCAGAAGCGGCGGATCATGGCAGAGCATTTACTTCAGTACAGAAACCCTGCCGAACTCCCTCGCTGTGAAGGCTGAACCACTTTCAGTCACTCGAGGACAGACACAAAGAGCAGGCGCTTTTCAAAGGGCTCATTGTGGAGCCTGGTGAAATTATTCAATTAGTGAATTTAGCACCTGATCTGGTTAGTCAGGAGCCCTGAGGACGCTACAGCTGCATTAGAGAGAGAGGGAGAGTTGGAGACATAAAAGATGCCGGGCCAGACGGTGTAATATTCATTACTTTCCACTCCCCCTTGTTTTATGACGGCAAAATTACCCACTACACTGTAAAATATTGCTTCTAATAACAGACATAGCTCTTTACAGTCGGGACATGAACTCAATTTTGGGGCAAAAATACATCTTCTAAAACCGATCTTAGACTTTACAATCCTTTTGATTTCTCCACACATCCAGCTTTCAAAAAGATGCTGAGCATTGATTCTGCTTGGCGGCTAAAACTACGAGGTGGACAAAAAGCTCAAAAAACTCTTAATTTGCACTTGTAGTGTTTCCGACTAAACGTTCACTCCACTGTGGTTTGCAGACCTGGTCTTGATCTAATGTAAATGTGTCTGCGATGTAAGGGTTCATTAAGAAAAGTGTTGCACGCTGCTGCTATATTAAATTTATTGCTATGGCAATATCAGTATTGATTCATTCAAGTTCTGTGGGCCAGTAATATATATGGTGATACATATGTGGAAAATATTGCTTTGCTAAAGTCATTAACAAACTGTACTGGACTTCATCCATCCATATATTGTTTTCTGTTTGTCTGGGAAACCCAAACATGCAAAACTCTCTGGCTCTCTGCTGGTAACCAATTGTTTGACCAAAATCAGCAAATTGGCAAAGTTCAT